TGTAAAAGTTGTTAAAGTACTAGAGATGAATGAACTGGAACCATTGGGACTACCTTTTCACTTTGACAGAAGTTATTTGCATTTCTGTTGTACAAAAGTACATAAGATGTAATTTCTCTGAGTCTGGAACCTTACACTAAACAGTGAGTTCCATAAAGTGCATTTCTCTATAGTAATCTTTGGTTCTCCAGGTGGAGCTGCTGCAAGCCACCCAGATCTCTTTTATTCTCATCAGTCCTCAGTCTTAACATATATCAGTCCCTCAACTCTCTTGCTTAGACTAGAGACCAGTTCCTTAGGCAGCACCCCTATAAAGCTGGAATGTGGTACACACACTCCACTTGCTCTTTTCTCCTTTTGGAAGATAGAAGCCACCAAGTTATATTTGCTTCTGCTGTCCTGCTGGTCCTCTGGAGGAGCAGTAAGCTTGCCTCACTCACTTTTGTCTAGCCTCCTGGCATCTAGAATATGCTGGGTCTTCTCAATGTTCTGAGTCAGGTGACACAGAAACCAGTTCCTCAGACAGCCTCCTAAAAAAATAGAACATAGAATTAAGGTTTAATAAGTTCCCTCCTCAAGGAGGGAAGTTGAGGGTATTTTCGGTTTGTTCAGTGCTATGCTAAGGGGAGAAACTGTGGCAAGTGAGTGCATGCTAGTCTAAACCTTTGCCTTTGTCCTCCAACCTGTTTCCAGTGCTTACATTGAGGCAAGACAGAAACCATCCCCTGTGCAGCCCCTTAAAAGTCTGCACATTGGATCTGTGTTTCAGTTTTTTTTCTCTCCCTCTCCTGGGAGAAGTTGGGAGTTAGAAGTTTTCTCATAATCATACCATCCTGAGCAGGGGGAGGGACTTTGAGGGGTATCATGAATTTCTTACCATCTTCTATACACATGGTTTCATACTTACCTGGGAGGCAGGAGCCTCTTAAATGTTTTCTGAATTTCCCACAAAAGTAATTGGTTTCTATGTTGCTGAGTCCATGTTTCCATGGGGACAAAAGGGTCTGTAATTTTCTGTTCACCCATCTGTTGACTCACTCCCTCTTGAATTTTAAAGTGGTAAGATTTGTATTTTGAAAATACTGCTCTGACTTTAAAATGTAAAGACTTAAAAATAATAGACAGGAAGCAGGAGACTTGGTTAGGAGACTTGGAGTTGTCTCCAAGGAGGAGATTATAAAGGCTGGGTGGCACTTTGAATATGGAGAGAGAGTTAGGAGATAGAAATTAATAGGGTTTGGTAATAGCTTGAATGTGGGAGGGTGAATTGTTAAGGCTGACTCATTGTTCTACTGTTCTGATATACTTTATTGCAATATTGAACACTGGAATATTATAAATTAGATCTTATATAAGATATTTCAGGTACATTTGAGATATCTGTTGAATTTGGTGCTTAGAGAAAGGAATTTCAAGTCATAATAATGTGCCATGAAAGCAGGGATCTTTTCTATAGTATTCCTACTAAATTCTTAGATTTCTGATATTGTTTCTTGCATATCATAGGGCCTTAATATTTATTGTTTTCTTATCTTCATCCCTATATCACCAGTGCCCTGGCATTACTAAAAATATCCACAAGAAATAGATCTTGCTCCATTTTCATGAGCATTGGGTACCATTTCATACTTACATGAAAGCACATGTAGTAGATATGTGAGTTATGATATATTAACAAAAGGAAAACATCAACACTGTCACCAAAGTACTAAATATTGTAGCTAAAGCTGTTTAAGTGCTTCTTAATTATATTCCTTTTTCCACCCTCACAAAGTTAATTATCTTGAATTTGTAATTACTCATTTTTAAAAAAAATGGATCACAACAGCAGTCCATATCCATAAAAAAGTATATCCATCAAGAAGATGTAGCAGTCAGGAATCTTTCACTTGACATAGTTGCAAAATAAAAAGATGAAAAAATTGACAAGAAATATAAGGATAAACTGACCAGTTCTATAAATAGCACAGAGGTTTTCAACATGTCTCTCTTAGATATCTGTAGATAAATTAGACAAATTTGTTAAGGATGTAAAATATTTGAGTTATAACAACCATCAGCCTTGCTCGATAAGTATTGAACTTGGTAATGAATGGGAAATAATGATTCTTTTCAAATGTGTAACAATATACCTGAAGTCACAAAGAACATGTAAATAAACTTTATTTTATTTATTTTTATAAAGATTTATTTATTTATTTATACAAGCACTGGGTACAGTCAGAAGCGCGGGAGTGTGAGAGAATTCACTAGAGCCAGAGCCGGGAGCAGAACAGGCAGACTGATGAAAATACACAGCTGAGGGAAGCAGCAGGTGCGGCAGGAGAGGTCTGTGCGCCATGTGGGACCCTTGCCGGCGACCAGGGATCGAACTGGCGCTGCAGAGGCTGTGGGCAGCTTTGCTGCCCAGCGCTCAACCGCTATGCCACCAGGGGAGGACCTAAATAAACTTTCTAAATCTTAAATTACATGTGGATCACATTTACTGAATCTATAGAAGCGTCATTATACTAAAACAAAATTTACATACAGGAATCAGGAAAGCAAAGCTTTTTTATAAAAGTCGTAGGTCTAGTGGAACCTACAAATGGAAAAAAAAAAATTTTCTGATTTTACATCCTTATTTTTATCCCCTTCTAAACTGGCTATTCAGTAGAAACATTTGGAGAAATAATAAATTATCCTAAATGTTGTTACCTTTGTAGTGGTCCTGTTGATTGAAGACTCTCTGTGACTCTCCCTCCTACATGTAGATCTCAGTACTGTCAGGAGGTTTGATACTTTCACTGATGAGAGACTTTGATTCAGAAATAGTGCATATGCAAAATTCAAATTCTAGCAGCCAACTCCTGAGGCACTCAGGCAGGAATAAAGACTTAGACAAATGCTAGCCCTATGTTTTTTACCTAAGAACATGATGGTACAGGGAATTTTTATTTCTCAGTTAAGGATATTAAGGAACTTCTCCTTATAACCTGATTACTGTGTAATGTGCACAGTATTATTATTTTATGCACAGTATCATTATTATATATTATTATATAATATGCACAGTGTCATTATTTTTAATGATTGTCTTAATCTGTTTGGGTAATATAACATAATACTATAGATTTAAAAAATACAGAATTAGTAGAAATTTATTTAGTTCTGAAACTGGAATCTGAGATCAGTGCCAGCATGGTTGAATGAGGGCTCTTTTCTTGGCACCTTATCTTTCTATCCTCACATGGGTGAGGGAGCTGTGTGGGATTTCTTTTAATAGCGCCCTCATCCCATTCATGAAGTGTGCACCCTTGTGACCTGATCACTACCCAAAGCCTCCCTCACTTCATAACATAGTCTTTGGGGAGTTAGGATTTCAAATTATGAATCTGGGGAACACACAAACGTTTAGACCATAGCAGTGATTAAAAATTTGTTTTATGACCTCACTAAATTTACTTTTGAAAAGATATGGGTAAAATTCTGAAGAAATAAGCCATTTTATAAAAATTTGATTTTGTTCTCCTGAGAATGCGAGATAATTTCTTAGTGCTTACCTGACTCATTTTGTGTAGAACAAGTTGATAAGAGTTGAGCTTAAATCATAATCTCCTCTAACATTCTTTTTCACTGATTTCAGCTTTTGTGTTTATTATCAGTTTTTACCATTGTATTTACTGCTTGATAGTCTGGCTTCTTAAAAAGCAGCTTAAGTTGTTTTTTTCCCCAGATTTTAAAAATAAACGTGTTTTAAGATATATATTTCTAAGAATTGCCTTTATTACACCCCACATCCATATTTAAAACTTTCATGAATTTTCCTCTTTATATTTTTTCCTGTTTTCCTCTTTATATTTTTCATGCTGGGCTTGTATATGTAGCCTTTATTCTCATTACTTTGAATTATTGATTTAATCTAAGTTGCATTATTTTAGACTATGTTGTCAATATCATAAAGATTCTTTGAAATTTGTTGAAAGTTCTTTCATAATCTACACACACGGTTATTTTCATAAATGTTGCATTTGTGCCTGTATATTTTCTTTTTTTTTTTGAACTTATAATTCTTTTTTATTATGTTAAATTTCATTTTAAAATATGATTCTTTTTTTAATAATAAATTTTATTTTTATATTCCCCATACAATTGCAACCCCCTTATTTTGACCCCAATCCCTCCCCTCTCACCCCCCACCCCCCTTGGAGTGTCTCTGGTTCATAGTTTTTTGTTAATTTTGATTTTCACTTTCTTATATTCATTTTCCTGGTCCCTTTTTTAAGTTTTCTAGATTCCTGCTATGAGTGAGACCATCCGGTATTTTTCTTTTTCTTTCTGGCTTATTTCGCTGAGCATGATCCTTTCCAGCACCATCCATGTTGCTGCAAATTGCATGTGTTTATCTTTTTTGAATGCTGAGTAATATTCCATGGTATATATGTACCACATCTTCTTGATCCAGTCATCTATTTTTGGTGTGCCTGTATATTTTCTATTTGTCCACCTGAGACTCTGTTTATGTATTAGTCAATTAAGTTTATTAATGATCAGTTTGATCAGATTTTTATACAGCTTAGTTCCCTTAGATAAAATGATCTTAAAGAGTCATTTAAATAATTTTCAGTTAAGGATATGAAGAAACTTCACCTTAGGTTTACAGAGATAACTTAAAATTCATCAACTTTGACAGAAGTAATTTTTTTTCCACTTTTGAAATCCCCACCATAGCAATAATAGAAGTAGTAGCTGTTGTATTAGTAATAATAGTAATGGTAACAGCAGCAGCAGCTAACATTTATGGAGCTCATACTACATCAAAAATATCTAAGTTGTTAATGAATTTAACGCAGTAATAATTCTATGACATTGTTTTCCTTATTTAATGGATAAGAAAAATAAAAACAGGAATGTTACCTACTTGTTATAGTCATAATGGAGTTGAGTTGCTTTTAAACAAACCAAAGTAAATTTGTTCAGTTGGACACAAAAAGTTTGTTCTTTTTTATTCTCTTTTTCAGTTATTAGAAAAGTTAAAAGAACGTTGGCTGTATACTGGTTTATGGCAGAACCTGGAGTTGTTGAAAACAGTCATTGTGGAACCACAAGGAGGAGAAAAAACTGATTTTGATGAATTACTGCAGGAATACTATGATGCAATCAAGTTCAAAGGAGAGAAAGGTAATTAGAAATTATTCGATGATCAGCAAAAATTTTTTTTACTATAAAGTGAGAATGTGGCACTGTTAGAATTTTATTAGTGTTATTTTTAAAAATGAATTGCTCTTAAAAGGAAAATTGTATTTTTTAATTGGGTAAAAAAGTTGAATTGGCTTCCCTAAGTAAAATCATTCATAGGAGAACAACTCAAAATAAAATAATTTCTTTAACTTTTTAAGAAACAGCATACATTCATGTTCTATCTCATAGTTTTCCTTATACTTCCTAAAATGGTTTATGAAAGGTAGCAAATAGAATGTACATAAAGTCTTCCTTACTCTCCAAACAAGCTCTACATTTTAATATGAATAATATGTTTTGTACTTGTATTCTATTACATAGAGTAAACTTGAGTTTACAAAACATCACTGAAGTCTCAACTTCAAAGTTAGAGGATGTCTTTGATATGAAGGGCTAATGGTAATAATTTATGAACAATGCAACATCATAAAGATATTATAACATAATTGTCAGTATCCTGTATAACACATTTATACATGGAATGTTCTCTGTGTGTATGTTTTAAATACTTTTGATTGTTTGAATATGGTATAAGTACAAATTAGAGTTATTTAAATAATCCTGATAACTTTACATCTGTTGGCAAAGGTAATTGCAATTTTAGTTTAATTTAAAAGTCATTCATGCACAAGTTGCTACTCTGGTATGGTCTTACTATATAAGTTGTCTGAGATATGCAATTTGTAAATTGGTTACAAAATTTACAATTACAAAATTACAATATGCAATTACAAAATTGGCATATTATACCTAAATGCAATTTTGTTCTCCGTTATATAAAGATGTTGAACTTTTAAAACTTTATCTCCTAACAGATTTTTCTTTTATCCTTTTCAAGTTTATGACAACAAATACTTTGTAATCGGGTATTTTCAAATGACAAGTATAAGCAATTTAGGAGAATTTTGAAGCACTTTTAAAAAAGCTTGTTTTCTATTCCCTAAGATGGAGCTCTCCTGGTAGCAGTTTGTCGTGGTAAAGTGAGTGAGGGTCTGGATTTCTCAGATGACAATGCCCGTGCTGTGATAACAATAGGAATTCCTTTTCCAAATGTGAAAGATCTACAGGTAGGCTGTCAAAGCTTTAAAGTTTCATTTATCATATAAGTTGTTTGTGTCATGTTAATTGTATTTTTTCTTGTATCTTCAGCACATTTTAATTCTTTGTTGACTTGGAATGAGTGAGAAAGGGTTAGTAGATAGGTATGAATTTATTTTATTTTTAACTTACACTCTTTTCTGCACAACAAGAGTGATTTTCAAAGTGTGGTCTTGGGTCAGGAGCATCAGTATCACCTGTGACTTGATAGATGCATTTTCCAGCTCCATCCAGACCAACTGAATCCAACTCTGGAGGGAGGTAGAGCTCAGGAATTTGTGTTTTGTCTGGCTCTTCGCCACAGACTCACTGATATACCCCAGGGAATTCTAGGATCCTTTTTCTATCTAACTCCCTTTTCTCTAATGCCATGCCCTTGCCCTGCAGATTTCAGTGATTTTAGCTGCTCTGAATTTTGATGTCTTCCATCTCAGTTCTGCAGGACAACTGTATTCTGCTTGTACTTCTGTGCTCTGTGCTATTGTCATGAGATTATACCCAGGAAAAGAGCTGAGCATCATGGAGTTTACCTAATGGATTTTCCTTATCTCTGAGATTACAGTCTTGTGCTGCTTGGTATCTGTTCCCAGAAAGCAGTTGCTTTATCTGTTTTGTCCAGTTTTACAATCCTAGGAGGAGGGCTATTCCCACACCAGTTATTCTGTCTTGACTAGAAATAGGAGTTTTGCTTCATTATCATTGACTGTTAAACATCTTTGAAAATTACTTACAGCACTAATTCGAAGGCCCAGTTGATGTTCTCTTCCGTCAGGAAGGATTTTCTTTTACTTCTTACAGACATTTGAATGTGCTAGCATTCTGAGACCAGCAGTTGAGATTTCCTGGTCATTTCGCTTACTCCATGGAGTATAATTCATATTCCTTTTAGGGCACAAAACTGTTACTGTCTCATACAAAGGCAGGAATTCTTTCCACAAGCAGTTATCTTCTTTATTGCTCATTCTTTACAATGAGTTATGTAGCATGAACAGAAATAAATAGTATTTCTCTTGCTAATTCCTTCTTTTCCCTAACTTTTGGACCACTTCAGAGATTCTGACCGTCCTAAGTGGGTATCTAAACCTTTCAGGCAGCACTGACCTTGGTGGTCTTTCTACAACGAGTTCTACCATTGAGCCAATGAGAACACTGATGACCAAGCCCAAGGCTGTGTGACCAGGGCTCCTATTTTAAAATGGCTAATGCTGCCTCTGACGACCACTATGGTTGAACAGTTGACATCCACTCCAGAAAACTGTTGTGTTCACTCTTAACATTATTAGTGCTGCATTCCACTGAAGCTGAATGCTGCTGAAGACACTGCTCTTGGTGGAGTACTGCCTCTCTTATTGATGTCTTATCATTTTACGTTGACCACCCTATATTATTACAGTAATGCTGCTTGGTTAAAGTGGAGAAAATCACTTTCTCCCTCTTTCTACCACATGCTGTTTAAATTATATGGGGAGAAAAATGACAAACCAAAAGTATAGTACTGGCTTTTATATTTACCTATATAGTTTTCTTTACCATATAGTTTTCTTTTTCATTACTTCCTAAAGCAAATACTATACTGCCTTCATTTTGTTGTATTTGTTCATTAGATATTGTACCTTGAGGATTAGGACAATTTAGTAAACATCTTTGTATCTCTACAGTTAAGAAATTGCCTTGGAAGATAGTGAGTGTTCCGTAAATGTTGGTTTAATTAATGATTAAATTATGTTTATTTAATATATTTTTATTTAAGTGCTAAATATATGCTTACATATTTAAATATATTCATTATATTGACATATTAAATGTAATTAATAATTAAATTGAAAAATTAAATATGTAGTTAATATATTTATATTTAGGGTACTCCTTGGTGGCCTAGGGTTTAAGTCTCAGACTATGACCAATATAGCCTGAGTTTAATCCCCAGCCAGTTAGCTACCCACATATGGTGCAGCAGACCTCTCCTGTCTTACCCTATACTCCGCTTAGCAGTGTATTTCAGTAAATCTGCCTCTTCTGCTCTCCATTCTGTCTCTGGTGAATCCTCTCACTCCCCCATACCTCTGGCCTATACCCCAATTCTTGTATGTAAATAAATAAATAAAGCTTAAAAAATAATACATTTATATTTAACCTAAGTATTAGACTTAAGTATATATATACTTATTTAACATAAGTATTAGAATATACTTCTAATTCTAATACTTAAAATGTATTTATTCTAATACTTATATTTAGCATAAGTATTTGTGGGTTTTTTTTGTTTTACTTGACATTGTTATTAAAAAATAACAACCCCCCCCAAAAAAAGCAACCCACCATTCCTGGACACTTTAATTGAGGCATTAAATGATTAACAATAATGACAGTAATCATTATTAGGTGATAATATGTCAGACAGCAGTAAGCCTTAATATAACATAAGGTAATAAAGTGTGTTCTGACAAACAAATTATTAAAGGAGTTATTGAAAGGAATGCTCAGTCACAGTACCATTTTATACTCTAATACACAGTAGAACATAATAAATAGAAGGGATATCTTATACTGATTATACTCACTATCACTCTTTATACTATTTTTTTATTGCTACATTACAAATTACCACAAACATAGTCACTTAAAAAAATACACATTTCTTATGTCGGTTTCCATGGGTTAGGAGCCTGGGCATGATTTAGCTGAGTTCTGTGCTCAGGTTTCACAAGGCTGAGATTAGGGTGTTGGCTGGACTGCGTTCTCATCTCGAGCTTGGAGTCTTTTTCCAAGTTAATTCAGGATGGTTACAGAATTTGGTTCTTAAAGTTGTTGGACTGATCCAACTAAGAGGGCTGCTCTTAACTTTTAGATGCTACTCATAGTTCCTTGCCATATGTGATCTTCTCATAGGCCTCTCATAGCATGGCAACTTACTTGTACAAGCCAACAAGATATTCTGTAGTTCCAATCTGCTAAGATGGAATCAGATAGCTTAACATAACTTTAGGTGTAATTTCTTTGCACCTTTGCCTTAAAAGATGACTTAATTGAGGACTATCCCATCACCCTTGACATATTCTATTGGCTAGAAGCAAGTCACAGGTTCTACTCACATTCAAGGGGAGAATATTATACCAGACACACCTCTCTGGGAGTCATCTTAGGATGCGGCTAAGAGTGTGTCTAAAGTTTTTTTTTCTGTAAAATAAGATAATGAACTAAACAATCGCCACAAATGATTTTTCCTAAGCTTTTTTTAAAAATTGAAGTAACATTGGTTTGAAACACTGTCTATGATTTAGAGGTATAGAATCACATGACTTCAGATGTATGTTATCACACCCCATCCACCCACAGGACACTTATGGTTCCCCAGCATATTCTGTTGGGCCCCCTCCACACCTTGGTCTTCACTCTCAATTGCCTCATCTCTAGTGGTCTCAATTCCTTAGACTTCTAGAGCTATTATTCATTTGATTCTGTCAGACCCTTTGTTTTTGTTTCTTTATATTCTACAATTAAATGAAACTATCCAGTATTTGGATGGTTCTGGCTTATTTTACTTAGCATTCTCCCCTCAAGTTCCATCCATGTTGTCACAAATGGCAAGTGTTAATCATTTTTATAGGTGAGTAGTATTCCATTATATATATATATATATATATATATACACACACACACACACACACACCACACCTTTCTATTCCACACCTCTGTCCTTGGGTATTTAGGTTGTTTCCATATCTTGGCTATTGTAAATAGTGCTGCAGTGAACATAGGAATGAATATATCCCTTTGAATTGAAGTTTTTACATTCTTGAGATAAATACCTAGCAGTGGAATTGATGGATTGTACAGTAGATCTATTTTTAATATTTTGAGGAATCTCTGCACTGTTTTTTGTTAAGGTCTGGACCAGCCTACTTTCCCACCAACAGTGTGTGAGGGTTTCTTCACATCCTCAGGTGTGAGATGGTATCTCACTGTATGATTTTGATTTGCATTTCTCTAAACTTCTCCTAAAATTAAATAATGCTTCAAATTACTGGACCATAAATTGGGATTTCATAATTTTTTTAATGCTAATACCTGGCTAATCATGCAGGAATATGTAGAATTTATTTACCATTGAATATCTTAAGTATCTTCTGAAAATGAAACAATATGTTTCTGTATTATTTTCTTTTTTCATTGAATTCATATTTTTAAAGGATAAGATTAATGTCTGAGTTAGAAATGTGATTTGAGTGGAATAAAGAGGGCAATGACATTGATTTTTATGATGCTAAATTTATTTCTTAAATTTGAGACACAGATTATGAAAGTAAAAATTAAAAAAAATAACTTAAGACTCTTGTCTCTACTGTAGAATTTGGCTTTTAGAGAAGCAGGAAAATGTATGTTAGAGCCAAAAATATGACTTCTTTGGCTGTGACCAGGATTTCCTCTTCCCACCTTGGGGACTAGAAAGTAGAGGTAGGAAAATTTCATTTTGGAGCCAAGTGTGACTTGTTTAGTTCAAGTCATAATTTATTGCATATACCTCTGGGACCTGAAAATAAAGAAACCCACTATGAAATGTTGATAATGGGCCACTCTGAAGGGAAAGCATTAAGCTCGCTTTCCCAGTGAGGATTTTTTTTTTTACTTCCACCTTTCCCAGATGCTTCTGATCATTTTATAAGGACATACTTAATCGTGTAATAGTTAAAAGGAAAACTTTCTGTGTACTAACCAAAGTATTTGAGAGGCAAGAGAGTTAACCAAGGCCTTCATATGATTAGATCTTGGAAAAATTTAAAGAAATATTTTCTTGTAATGCAATTAAGTCACAGTATTAATAAGGCTGCCTTTTTAATGGATATATAAAGCAAATCATTTGACCAATCACTAAAATCTAAAAACCACAAAAGCCTTCAACATTATAATTTAGATATCCACATCTCAAATTGGTGGAATAAATATAATTTATGAGACATTGTAAGGTATA